CTCTAAGATCATACACAACAGGATCAGGCAAACACTGGAAGGGAAGACGTGTCTTGGGGGGGTTGAACATCTTTCTTCCTTCTGCTCTTTGGAAAGTGTACAGGATGTGCCTGATGTTTCCTTGGCAAAGGAAAAGGTAAAAATAGAGAAGATTCATCTGGTTTGAGTTCAGCAGCACCACATTACTTTAGGGGTGGTTTCTTCCCTGATCTCTCTCTTTCCTTTTTTTCATTTAATGCTGAGCCATCCCAACTTCTTTTGTGATTTGATGCTCAAACGGACCAGGAAATGCAAATAATCCCGGTTCTGAAGGCGTCCAGTGACGTGATTGTTGGGACGGTGCGGGGGAGGCCGGCTGGCTCGCCACATTAAAGGCAAGAGTTTGAGCGAGAGATGAGTGGAGACTGGGTTAAGTTAAGTGAAAGGGTAGGACTTCAAAGGCCGTTAGGTTTTCCTGCCATATTAAGAGTGACGAGACGTGTCTTTTATTAATAGCATTCGCCAGAGTTTTTGCTCTCAGCCGGTTTCATTGTTCCACAATCACGGCAATGTGCAGACGGGATGAGAGGAGTCTTCAAAGCTGCACAGCAAATTACACCTTGATTACAAGAGAAAGGAGTCCGCTGAAGGATTTACTGCCTGTGGTTGTTTGACATCTTTTGTTTTAATCTAATTTAAAGCTCTTTACCACCTTGATAAAAGCGCCATGCTCACATTTTCCACTACATCTGGCATTCTTAAAAAGAATAAAAAATCATTGGCTTAGAGAGGTTTGCATTTTAGCCCAAACTGTTTTTCTTTCTCAAAATTTAACTGGTGGTCTGGAAAGTACGGGATTTGATTAAAGTGTGTTCTAGGTCTGGATCAGGGTTGAAAAATGTTGTTTCCGGAATTAAACCTGTTCTGATGTTTTAATGGTCCGTCCTTCATCGGCCTGTCCATCCATTGATCGTACGTTTGTCCAACCAACTGTTCATCCAACCAATCGATCATCCGTCTGTCCAACCAACTGTTCATCCAACCAATCGATCGTCCGTCTGTCCAACCAACTGTTCATCCAACCAATCGATCGTCCGTCTGTCCAACCAACTGTTCATCCAACATATTGATGATCTATTTGTTCAACCAACTGTTCATCCAACCAATCGATCGTACGTCTGTCCAACCAACAGTTCATCCAATCAACAGTCTCTCTGTTCATCCATCCATCCTCAGTCTATCTTTAATCCTCCGCCCATTCAGATTTCCATCTCTCTACCCGTCCATCAATCCAGTCTGGTTTTCTTGTAAATCCTGACCTGAAATATCTTCCATTGGTTTGCAGTGGCTCTTCATGGGCAATGCTTATTTGATATATAGATACTGCATGATATAATAAAAACGAGTCTCTTTTATTCTTAGAAATGAATGAATATACCACATCCATCTATCCTGGGTCTCCACCTTTGCGAAGAAGAAGAAGTTGTTTGGACTGGACATTTTGAAGTGACTTGGAGAAAAGCAAGTTCACCTCCGACTGTACTTTTACTCTGGAAAACCTAAAACATCAGTACCGTCTGCTCAACCCTCGGTTTATTCTAAATGATTTTCTATCAGTGTGGAGGGATCTTCTTGGCACAAGTTTGACTGCGCCTCCTGAAACTCAATTACCACCGCAGTTTTCTGGCCTCATTCATATCGGCTGTGGTACAGAACTCCATCAGACACTATTTCTGATTTGCATATTACAATGCGAGCACTGCCCATCATCCCTTCTGCTCATTAAACGTCGGGCATCTCGTCGTCGTCTTGTCTGTTTTCATAAAAAAAATGAAAAAAGAAATCTTGATTTAGCCGCTTTAATTCTCCTGCGCGGACTTGTTTACATGATTGGCTTTTTCTCCCCCTTCCCCATAAATCCTTGTCAATCTAAAGCCGCTCTCGCACGTTATCAAGCGAAGAGAAACAAAAAGACGCCACAGTAAACATTCTATAATTGACTGTTTATGAGCGCTATCATCAGTTAGGGTGGGATTTTAGGGCCGTAATCTGCTTTTTCCTCCTTCTTCTTTCTTTGCCATTCAACCAAAAATGGACACGAGAGTTAATGCATCCCTCCAACCTCTGAGCCATTTACACTCGCTGAATGTACTTGTAATGATTAAGTTTGAAAAGAGACATTTTTTATCATCGGCCAACACAAGAGTTGGCAATCTTAAGACCTTCAACTAGAAATAATTAGGATCTATTTGAATGCTGAGTGCGCCGAGACAAGAGTTAAGCTTGTTAACGAATGTGGTGGCAATTAAATGCGTCGTCCAGCCTCAATTCTGCTGTTTATTTTTCTCTTTTTTTATCACCTGAAAATTGATTATAATTCTGACCGTAAAGTTTGAAATTCCACGCCAGCGGATAATTGAAAATGCAAGCGACGGAGTATTGTGTTTGTAAGGGTTTTAGTTCCCACGTGAAACCGGAGCTGGTTAAAATTAGTCCATGTGGCTCCTCTGTTTTAATTTCTCCACAATTTAATGGTAAAAATCAGGTCAACCTTTAAGATTTATGAGCAGTGGAGGGGAAAAAATGAATTAATGGTATGCTATTTTTATTCAGTCAGCCGTCTGTTAATTTGATATGACCTTAGTCAAAGGCGGCGGAATAACAAACTCTACTTACTTCTTGTTAAGAGCAAACCCCTGGTCTCCCATGTTGCTTTGCTGAGGATCTGAGAAGCGAAGGGCCCGCTGCCAGCCGCCGTTTCTTTAACTCTTATCTGCAAAACTCAACAAACGGGCTTCTTTTAGGACATCAGTGGCGCTGGGAAACGAACACCCTTTCATCTAATTACACAGCGTATTGTTTCAATTAGGCGTTTTCTTTATTAATTCAACTTTGAAATGAGGAAAAATGAGTTGTTCAAGTGGCATTTAAGCGCGTTCAGAAAATAAATCCTGACAGCCAAACGCGGCGGCTCATCATCCGATGGAGGACATAAAGTTTGCGGCGTCGCCTCCGGGCGTCTTTGTCCTCGAGTCAAAGCAGAGGTGCGTCACCTCTCTTTTTTTCCCACCTTTCTTCCTCACTCATGAGATCTCAGTGTGACTCGCCTCATGACAGCGTCTAAAACTCCACTGCCATGAGGGGACGGGGACTCGCAGGCCCCCATTGAAGCATCCCTGCAGGGGTTTTCTTCACACAGGGACTAAAGGGGAGGGGGTGAAGGTGAAAGTTTGGCACCGAGCGACGGATCCCCCAACAAGAGGAGGCCTTTGTTGCCAGGTTGCTTTTGCTCAGCAACGTGGAGGAGCCAGGTGGCCTCTGACCTGACCTCTACTCCGAGAGGACCGGTGGGCAGAGAGGCTGAAATAAAATAAAAAAATGAAAGGAACAGGCAACTTTGGCTGGAGGGGCCGCGTGTGAAACAAAGTGCTCAGAAATAGGTCAACCAGTATCTCATTTTTCTTGCGAGGCCTGTAATCACCCGTGACGAGCTCACAGAGGAACAGGCTATTCAGTGAGGATTGAGGACTCATGACGCTGACTGACAGATCCCAACCACCTGCCTCATGACGGGAGAAACCTGCAAGATCTCAACTCTTTGTTGTTCGCTTTTATTTGCTTGACTTACCTGAGTTGGCGTGTTAGCTCACAAAGTTTTTGTTTCTGAATTATGTGAATGTTTTGCCTTTAGAGAAGACAAAAAGGTCGTTCACTGATCCAAACATCAACCACATGAAGACGGCACAAAGCAGAAATCCGGCTTCCCAAACAGACAGCTTTCAGTTTTTATGGTTTTGAATTTACTAAGAGGTCATCCTATATTGAGTAAAAAGATGAACCAAATATCACTGGAAGAAATAAGAACTGAAATGTCTTTCTGATGGGTTGCTAGTACCAGAGTGCCTAAAAAACATTTAAAATGGACCTCAATGTGTATAGCAGGTAAATTTAAAAATAAAAATGGTGCAGATGCAAGTTATCCTAAGGTTCCTGATCTTAGTTTAGCTAATGAAGGGCTAACTAACATTACCTACGCTATAACACAGTAGGGGGATGTAGGTTAGCATTAGCAAAACTAAGATATGCTAAAGTATATCCAAGGAAAGCAAAGACATTATATACTTGGATATAGAAGATTAAACTCAATAAAGCAAAGGTAAAATAATTGATTACTCAAGGTCAGTAAAAACCAGTATATTAATATAAGCTATGGTACTGTAGGCTATGCTAGGTGAGCAAAGTTAAAGTCGGCTAAGTTAAAATAAACCACAATATGGAAAGCTTAACTCAACATCACTGATGTTGATATTGCTGCTTTAAGCTAAATAAAGGCTAAGGCTAAGCTAAGGTTAGCTACATTCCAAAAAATGCTGACTTAATCTAGGGTAAAGCAAAGAAATCTATAAATGTAGCTTTAGGAAACTAAATTAGCATTGCTTCTTCAAAATAGGCTTCAAGTATGCTAACCTAGCATAAATTCAGCTTGAAACTAAGGTACGTCATGTGTGCCAAGAACTCAAAAATTGACTGAGCCAAAAATATAAATAAAAATACAATAATAAAAGTAACAGTAATACGCCCTCAGTTGTTTTTTGTCTCATTTATAGTTTAATATTTGACGCTAATTCTGCACTGGAAATATCCCGTTTGGATTTTCACAATAAGAGTTCAGTTTCTGGATCGTTACCAGAAGTGTTTACAATAATATTGTTGGTAAATTTATACGTGAAAGAAATATGAAAGATTGTAATGTCCAATTAACAACCCTATTTATCTTTGTTTAAAACAAAACAGTAACAGATGGAGGTTGGAGTCCATGCAAAGATATTTAACTAACATCTTAGCTTAACGATGTTAAGATCTTTATGCTAAGATGTTTAATTAACATCTTACTCTGACTTTAACTATAAATCAATCAGCTTTGTTACAGACTAGGATTCAGCAGTGTTTAATCAGTGAAGGAAAATGTTCGGCAAGATATTCATAGATCTAATTGTGTGTTTTTTTTTTTTTTACCACAGAAGAAGAGTTGGAGTCAGGATTTGCCCTAATCCTCCATTTCCGTGTTAAAAAGGTGAGCAACACTGTTTAACGACATGCTAGTTAGCTTTAGCGCAGGGATTTCTCTCTTTCTGACTCTTTTTGACATTATACAACAAAACTGAAATATTTATCACTGTCAGAAATTCAAACAAGCTTAATAATAATAATAATAATAATAATAATAATAAAAAACATATTTTAGTATTTTAAGATGGACTAAACTGACCTTCTAGTAGCAGTTTTTGTTTTATATTTTTGTCACATTGTGGCACAGTTAGAGATCTGTCATCCTTTAGTTGATCATCTATTAAAAATATTCAACCTTAATCATAAAAAATGATCTTCTCCCAAACTGGAAACTTTTATTGGTTTCCAAAATGACAAAACTCATTTCCAATGGGAGAAGAATGGACTAAAAGTGTAGAAAATCTTTGACCTAAGTCTAAAAAGGTATGAAGGAAGTCTTGGCTACTTGGAAGAAAAGTAGACAGAAATAATCGCTCTTGTGCCGAGTTGTTCCTCCTGATTCCCATTAAACTTTGTAAAATGTGCTCTGATCCTCATGGAGATCTCAAACCCCCAACGTTGCTGTGAAGAAACGATGATGAGTCTTCATCAGGAAGCCGCTCCAGATCTCGCTGCAGATTTAAACCTGATCTCGTTAAGCCACCAAAGAGTCTGAATCTCGCCCATCGGTGGCCAAAGCATCCCTGCTGCTAATGAGGCGCGCACGGCCCCCTGGGTAACGGCTGCGTCACGACAAACATACACTACGACCTAGACCTCCGACAATGAACCGTGTGGACCATAAAACCCAGTTTGCATTGGTGGTTTTGATCCCTTCCACTCTAAATGCCCATTTTAATATGCATTTTAGCCATTATGTCACTGCTAATAAGAAGCCTCTTTGAGAATGTGCCCATTGTTGAGCGAGTCTGTTAATTATGACGGCTCAAAGTGCTGCTGTATTCCACTGACTCTTCCTCATAAGAAGCCTGATTATTCATCACCATGATAAGAATTAATTTGCAGGAAATATTGCGCCTTTTTTCCCCTCTCATGCTCCAAATTTAAATGCTCCAAATTACACATTCAATCCATCTTTGTTTGTGAGTTCAACGCCGTTAAACAAGGCAGCACTTGGTGACTTTTATTGGACTGGAGCGACAAGTCGGTGTTAAATAAACACTTAATGTATCGAGGGACGTAAACAAATGAGCCAGTAATTCATGCACCTTTTTTTATAAACAGTTTTTGTTTGATTTTTTTTATAGGAACCATTTATACATTCATTATGTTATTAATACAGGAAATACAAGTTTGTATGGATTCCAATTAAACAAGAAAAGAAAAAACAGGTATAAGACAAACAAATAACATTATTTATGTATTTAATTTTCTTCACATGTAAGTTTTGCATCTTTAGCAAACATAAAATGAAGCTTTTGTTTGTTATTCTTTCAAGTTGCTAACATTTGCCACACTTGGATTATCCAAGATGAATTCAAGCGACACATATCTATCAAAATACCATTTAGACGTCTTGTGGTGGAAGTGGTCAGGTTGTGGTTCTGATGATCCAACAGGAAGCGGGTCAGGAGGAGAAGCATCACAATGAGGGAAGCTACAATGGCGAAGGGGCTCAGAAACCCCTGCTGCTTGTATCCAGAGCATTTAATCAAGCTGGCATTAGTTTGGAAACTGTATGGCTTAAACTTTCAATCCTGTCCGCAAACTTAATATTGTTGACAGTAGCTCCAAATTCGACTATAGACTCAGCAAGTAAAAGGATAAGCTGAGCTTTACGGGCTTTTTATAACCTTTCTATTCAGCCCAGAAGACAGTGTGAGTCACGCACCTGGCTGAAAATCTGAGGAGCTTTCAGGGAAGCATTTCGAATGAATTACCTTGCAGGTTTATTCCCTGTTATTGGCTGCATTATGGCGTTAAAGTGTGCGCTGACCATGTGAATAACATGGGTGTCAGGTGATTGAAATAAAAACGCAGCAGGAAGGCTTTTATCACTCAGACGCTACAGTTAAGAAACATTAAAGAATAAGATGAACCAGCATTTCTGTCCTACACTGTAAAACTCACTGGCTGACATCAGTAACGGCTTAAATTTTTAATTATTTGTTTGTTTGTTTTTTACAAAAATGGTTAGTTTCTCTGTTCTGCAAATCAGATGCAGAATTTTTTGTTAAAATGTCAAAATTTGACTTCAAATTTGGATAAAAAAGTAATTTATGTTCTGTTAATTTCTTAACATGATGGTGTTTTATTACTTTCATGTATTTTTGGTAATTCATTTTTATACTAAGGTGATTTTATTTCTTGGTAAATATAAGAGGCCACCTCAAAATATCCTCACTCAGAAAAAAATTTGACAATTTTAATTTAGATTTCAGCTACTTAATCCCAGATTTCAACATCTTAACACGGATACAGAAATTAATTTAAAGAAAAAAGTAGATGATTACATGAAGTATAATTTCATTTCACTAAATTCAGAAAATAAATGGTTGGAAACAAACATTGTTCTCTGATTTTCGTCAGTTCGTCTTAGCTTAGCTTAGCTTTGCTTTGTTTAGTTTGACCAAAACTGCCCGGCTTAAGTAATTTTGTTAAATTTAGCTTAACTTGCTGTAGTTTAGCGTATGTTAGCATACATTAACTCAGATTAGCTACACAAGCTTAGTTTAGCGTACTTGAGCTAAGATCAGCATAACTTGCTTTAGTTTAGCCAACATTAGGTAATCTCAGATTAGCATTTGCTCAATTTAGCAAACTTTAGTTTAGCTTCTTTTAATTTAGCCTTGATTAGTTCATCTTATGTTAGCATAGCCTAGTTAAATATGCCTGAAACTAGTTTAGTTTGGCTTCTAAGTTAGCTTACATTAAATAAGTGTTTAGCACTTTAGCTTTTAGTTTAGCCTGCACTAGCTCTTCTCAGATTAGCTTGCACTAGCTTAGTTTAGCATACTTGAGCTAAATTCAGCACAACTTGCTGTAGATTAATTTAGTTTAGCCATCATTAGGTAATATTAGATTAGCATTAGCTCAGTTTAGAAATCTTTAGCTTGGCTTTGTTTAATTTATCCTTCATTAGCTCAACTTATGTTATCATAGCCTAGTTAAACATGCCTGAAACTAGTTTAGTTTAGCTTTAAAGTTAGCATACATTCAATAAGTTTAGTATACTTTAGCTTTTAGTTTAGCCTATGTTAGCTCTTCTTGTATTAGCTTGCACTAGTTTAATTTAGTTCAACCTACATTAGCTAATCTTAATTTCTTACCTTAGCTTATTGCAGTTTAGCATACCTTAGCTTTTAGTTTAGCTTTCTTTAACATATCTTGGTTTACCTTATCTGATGCTAATTTATCCCTAAAATGGAAAATGCAGAATATATCATCAGAAATGAAAATAAAAAAACTCAAGTAGATTTAATAATTGTTTTTTTACCCAACATTTAATTGAATTCTATGGTAAGTCAGGTTAAGCTAATTATAAACAACTTGTAAACTTAACTTTAGAATCAGTTTGGAAATGGGTTTCTAGAAATGTTTAATGTTTTGTTTCCCATTGTCTTAATTCTGTTCCATTATTAAAAACAGGCAAAGTAGAAAATCTTGAATATTCACAAGGACTTATTAACTATTGATTAAAACCCCCTTTAAGTGATTAGAAGAAAATCCCTGCTTGGAAGAAAAACAAGTGAAATATTGTCAGTCATCCAATTTATCAAACATTAGAAATTCTAAAAACTGAGCAGTTTTTGTAAAGTTTCTTTTCTAAAGAGCATCACGCTGTTTCATTTTAGTGTCTTTCTGTATTTTAATTTAAAGACAGTATGTCAGTAGTCCAAGTAAATGTTTTTATTCCTGCAGAAACATTGAAGATGTGGAACAAGAGGAAGGAAAAAGTTTGACAGAGAAGCAGTAAGGTATGAGCGTTTATTTCTGCTAGCTGCAGTGTTTCTGAAGCACGTTTGTTTGCATTTATGTGTGCGTTTGTGTGTGCGCGGTTGCGTTTCCGCGGTAATACAACTGAGAATCATGTTGCAAGCTTTTTGCCCAGAGTGTTTCTGAGCTCATTTTCAAATGGTAATTTGCCTTATCCGAAGCAAACTCACTGACTGTAAGTAAGTGATTATTTGCATGACTGACAATCATTCGGCTTGCCTACGGTCTTTTTCCAAACTGCTCCAGTTCGTCCAGTCTTTTGAAAGAAATAAAAAACTCAGGGTGGGCCGGTTCTCTTTGAAACATCGTTTCATTTACCTTATCATTAGACACAAATATGGCATGGCTTAATAGCGGCAAAAAAAAAAAAAAAAAAAGGAAACAGCAGTTTTGATGATGGCTTTGCAGGCAATAAAAAGCCTTCTTTGTGATTGCTGGATAAAGAAGATGATTTTCAGCTGCTGCTTGGTCGTATTTTGGTTGAACTTCTCGGTTTTTGGGTCCGATCACCTCAGGTTTTGTGTTTTCATCAAAGCGCCAAGTTCCTGTGGTCCTGTTTAATTGGTAATTATCCAATTTGAGGCATCTCGACTGTTGGTAAAGTGCAGCAATGACACGGACCCACAGACAGCAGAACAATGTAGTGATTTAGTAGCCGCACTCCCCCTCAATCATGCTCAAATGTCAGCCACAGACTCATCAATGCCCCGAACCCTGAGCACACCCCGGAGACGCACACTCGGCCCGCGTTGCTACACACCAGCGCCGTGTCAGAAGACGGAACAGGACCGTGGCGACTGGAGATGGGTTTTCCAGAACCACTTCACTCCGTTTCTGTCAAAATGAGGCAAAAATACAGACTTGATCCCACTCTGTTTGCATTAGTCAATGAAGTTGGCGTCATTTTTTTATTTTACCTTCACCTGAACTCTAATTTTAGCAACCAAAATAGATTCCCAGACATTAATTTGTCTTAAAAAGTGAGTCTTGGTTGAGTTTTTCTAGATCTTAGCATACAAGTTGTGTTTTATGCAGTTTTATCTCCTAGTTTATACTAAAGGAATAAAATTTTTACCACATGTGCAACTATTCTGCATTACAGTGATCCACAAAATGTGTGTGTATATAGCTAACATTGTAAAAGTTAAAATGAACACCCATCTATTCACCCAGACACCTAATTAAGTAACCAACCTTATATTAGAGCTTAGTTCAGCGTAAGTTAGCTCACCTAATCACATATTAGGTTTGTTTGTTTATTTTAGCCCACGTTACTTTCTTAGGTTAGCATACTACAGTTTAACTTTATTAACTTTCTGCATTTTCATCATAATGTAGCTAAACTTAGTTTGGCTCACTTTGACACACCAAGGTTTCCTCCAGGAAACTTGCTAAGCCTGGTGGTTGGGGCGCTCAGCAGTCATGTCCCGTCGTGTTTTTGAGTTAAACATTTTTTAAAATTGACAGGAAATTTGAAAATATAATTTGATAGTTATGTGTCATTGTAATATTAGGAGATTGATATCTGAACACCAACTATAAAGTCTTTAAAAAATGCAAACATAAAAAAAAAAAACTTGAATAAATAAGCAACGCTAAGCCTGGTGGCCCGCCAGGCTTATAATACACCGAGGGAAACCTTAGCTTTGTTGATCTGAACTTGATTTAATTTACTGAAGTTTATCTTTTTTATCTGAACTTAGTTAATTACATCTAATGTGTATTACATGAACATTAGCTTAGCTCACTTTACTGTATTAGCATAGTTTAGTGTACTTTTGCTTAGTTTAACATAACATTTTGGTTTAGTCTACAACGTAACCTTAGCTTTTTGGTCTTGGTTTAATTTTAATTTACCATAGTTTGTTTTTGTTTATCTTAACTTAGTTAATTCTGTTTAGTGAACATTAGCTTAGCTTACTTTACTGTGTTGTGGCTTAGTATTCTTTTTCTTAGCTTAACATTTTGGTTTAACTTGTCTTAATTTAGCATGCTAAATTTAACCTGCTTTAACATTCTGTAGCTTAGGTTAGCTAGCTTAGGCTAGCTTACCTCAGCCTAGTTTGGTTAATTTGTAATAGTATCTTTATCTAGTTTAGCCCACATTAGCTTACTTTAGCATGATAGCTCAACTTATATTGGCTTAGTTTTGCTTAAATTAGCCTAATTTAGCTTAATTTAGGATACATTAGGCAACTTTATCTTAGCCTAATGCAACTTTTCATTAATTAATACATTAGCTTGTCTTTATCAAATGTAAAATTTTACTTCAGTGATATTAAATTTATGAAAGTGACTGAAATCTTCTCTAAACCCAACTAATGTGCTTTTCTGTTACTTATACAGAAAATAGAAGAAGAAATATTTGCTTCCTGATTAAAAGAAATTAGCTTTTAATTGTTAATTTCATATCAATTCTTACAACAAATTATCTTTAAAACAACTAAACATTTGCCCTTCTTGAAGAAGCTAAAATGAAAGATTAATGAAAGATTATTTCAGGAGGAAAGCCAGCAGTGGCGGTTCAATACTCGTCAATAACAATCCGGTAAAGGTTTCGCTTCGCTCTGACAAAACTGGGAGGCAGAGGAACAAAAGTCATGGAAGTCCTTCATTTGCCATGATCATCCATCAATCAGTATTTAGGACATTGACAAGTGGTAATTTAATAAGCAGTGACCTGGGCAGGCAGGAAGCCGCTCTGACAGACAATACAAACTCATTTATCACGGTGGAGCGACGGCGCTGCTGCGCTGCGTTTGTCTCTGCGTTGGCTGAGGAGCAACACGCTAGCAGACAGCTTCTGAAACCAGAAGCCATTTTCAACCCGACCTTTCACCTTTTAATGCCTCCAGAAATTACAGAAACACTGTTTTTATTTCTTAATAATCTGCCCCAACAGTTCAAGATAAATTTGATCAGATGAGACACAGATTAAGCTTTTTCACCCCAATAATCACTTTCAAACACAGTGTTGGCAGCATCATGCTGTGGGGTTGTTTTGCTGTTAACGGGTATATTTGCTTTGGAAAGTTGAGTCCAGAAACTTAATGTTGGTCTCCAAACAAGAAGAAATGATCTGAGTCTTTGAAACCGAAGAACAAAATGCTTACTGTCAAAAACAGTGTTGGCAGCATCATGCTGCGGGGTTGTCTTATTGTCAGCAGTTCTGAGATTTTTTTAATTTTTTTTATTTTTTGCAAAGTCATCCCAGAAGCTTAATTATTCTGGTAATTAATGTCCTGCAAACAGAAACCTAAATTCGGTATTGCTACTGAAAAGCACGATAGTGGCAGTATCATGCTGTAGGGCGTTTCAACCATCTAGCTGTTGATATGAGGTGAATTAATACATTTGGAGCGGCTCATCCTTTATTATTTCACCCACTTGGTGCCACCCACTAATAACAGAGGGTGTAGCAGCCCCACAGCATGATGCTGCAGGAGCCATTTTCAACATTTAAACATTTAAAAGTGAGTCTTCTGCTTGGAGGTTAAATTTAAGCTTCTAAAAACTTGAACCTTGATGGTTTGTTGACCATTTAGCACTTTTCATACCTCTGAACTAATTTAAAGCACAAATTTAGTGTAATTGTGTTTATTTTTTAGAGTTTTCTAAATGTGAAGACCTTAAACCCAGCGCCATCGACTGGTGGTTGCTCTGATGTCTCCATCTTTGTTGCAAGCTAATTCAGGAAACACGGCTTGCCCCTCACGTTTTGGCTCGGTTTCATCAGCTTGAGCCGTGTTTGCCCACATGCGGTAACGTCATGTACCTCGCTGAGCCTCTCCTCGTCTCGCTGCCAAATTGCAATCAGTGGGCAGGCGTCCATTAGGCCGCGCCGCAGCGCGCCGGCGCTGACTCACCGCGGCATTCGGCTCCTGATGTGGATTTTAATGCGCGCTAATGATCTTTGTGTTTGTCTTCGTTGCTGCGCGTCGCTTTAAAGCGGCAGTGTCTACTTCCAGTAGCGTCACCTGTGGAAGTGAGCGCGCTAATGAGGGCAGCGATGCTGCACAGGGATGAAATCACCAACCTGGCAACCCAGTCCATCCACACCACCACAACAGAGATCAAGATACAGAGAAGCTAAAATCCCTTTAAATCTGTTCCTCGGCCTTTTCAGGTAGTTTAAGCAGTCTGTTTTCTAGTTTTTATGAGTTAAATATTGCTAGTTTTTATCAGTTTTTATGGTTTTAGTGTTTTCATAGTTTGGTTCATTTTTATCTGATGAATTAACAAGACCTCAATTATTTCCATTTGGATTATTTATTGTTTTTCTCTCTTTTTACCAAAAACTGGATGATTAAAGTCTCCAGTTTGGTGTTTTCATCTCAACTGGAGGACAATTTTGTTTACAAATACTTTATATAGGATTTTATTTGTTGTTTTATTGGTTTTGGATATTTAATAAAATGTCTTCCAGTTCCAGTATTAAATGTTCATCAGAATTTAAACTTCATTGATCTTTTGAGAAATTATTATTTTTATTTATTTTAGTTAATAAAAATGTTTTCTTAGTGTAAATTTATTTAATTTTTCTGAAATATTAAAATGGTAAATACACCTGAAGGGTATTATTATATCAAATGTATTATTTTATTTACTTTTTTCTTTAAGTCAATTAATCGTGATTAATTGATTATTGAAAGAATTATCAACTAAATTAGTAAGTGATTATTAAGTTATTTGGAGTATAAAAGATAGTTTGCTAAAAAATGACACTTTCTGAGCAGTAATTAAACCAAAAATGTACAAAATAAATATAATTTTGTCTTTCAATATGTTTTATGCAAAACTTAGAAGTGGGATTTTTTAAAAAATAAATATTTACCTGCTTTTAATTTTTTTAATTAAATTTAATTATTTCCATCTTTTAATGAATTACTAATATTGTATAGAATAAACCTGAGTAGTTTAAGACATTTTTTTGCAATGGTTGAAAAAATTTAATAAAATAAACAAAATACATTTAATCAAG